TGAACAAGTATCAGTATAGTAATACACGGATCACTTTGATATATATATATATATATATATATATATATATATATATATATATATATATATATATATATATATATATATATAACAAAAATACTCATAAGTAGAGCAGTGCAAAAGCAATGCGTCATGTATGCAAAGATGAATTACTTAATTAGATGATAGGGAATAGAGTAGTAAATAGAACCTCGGATATGTTGGACGATGAGGTCTGGTTTGGCAGCGTGATGTACGTCTACGCTTGGTGATGAGGCGATGACAGATGACATCTCGAGTGGAGATTGGAGAGCGGAGGTCGCCGATGAAGGGCGACTCGCGATCAGGATCGCGATCCTCGTGAAGAAGCGAACTCGCGATTAGATCTGACCATCTTGGAAGGGATTTTTCTTTTTTTTTATTCTCTCGGAAGGGAATAATTAGGCAACTGAACAGGCCTGCGTTCAAGGCTACAACTACGAGCTACATTGGACCTGCATGTTCAGCCCATGTCCTAGTGCGTAGTGGGCTTAGCCTCCATCCTTGGGGGCCCGGGGAGGCCGCCCCCTCTCTGCCTTACGTCCGGGTCCCCTCAAAAAAAAAAAGCAGGGATTCACATCCGGAGAGGCATAGCGTGAGGGATGGGGATCTGGTTGAGATTCGCCAGCCGGGAAGAGTCAGAGCATCTCCAGCCGTTCGGCCCCCAGGGCGCTGAAAAAGAGCCTCCTGGAGGCGAGCCGGCGCTAGATTGGCGCGTGGGGCGACCTAGCTCCTAGTCGTCAGCCCACAGGTCGCCCCGGGTTCGGTGATATTGCGTACGAAAATATGTGCAAACTCGACGACTTTTGCACGAACTCGGCGAAACTTCGTTGAAATTTGAACAGAGAACATGAAAACATGCAAACTATGCCTAAACTACGCCTTGCCGCCACCGTCATCGCCGCAGCCGTCGTCTACATGCCGAGAAGCCTGTAGAAGCGGGTGTAGTCGCCGCCGTCGTCGTCATCGTCGTCGTTGTCGTCGTCGTCGCGCGGCTGGCTTGGGCCGGCGCCGTCCCTGCTGCAGCCCTGGCCAGGGTCACCGAGGCGTGGTGGCGCGCTGGATGGCCCGTCCTCCTCGTCATTGTCGAGGACGATGACGCCGCCCTCCTAGTGCCCGCGGCGCCGGGCCTGGAGCTCCGCGTACGCCCGGCGCTGGCGGCGGACCTGCTCCCGGACGTAGTCCTCCTTCGCCCACTTGAGGGTGGACTCGTCGTCGGGGGCTGCCATCTCGACATGCTCCGGCGTCACCGGGAGCAGCCCCGGTTCGGGCTTCGGCCGGACCAGGCGGAGGGAGCGCCTCCCCAGAGCCAGAGCGGGCGGGGTGGGCCGGGCACCCTTGTTGATGACGAGGGCGCCGCTGCGGGTGCGGCGCCCGAGCGGCATCTCCTCCGGCTCGGGCTTGACGGGGCGGAGCGTGGCCGGCGAGCCGGAGCCCGACAACGAGGACGACCCCGGCTCCATCCGCCGCGGCGGTGAGAGAAGGACGGCCGCGGTGGGTACTCAAGGCGCGGCACGTTGCCGCACTCGATGTGGTCGAAGACGGCCTCGAGGGTGCGGCCGGGCACGCCCGGCCACTCGTGCCGCCCGTCAGCGTTGAGGCGGCCCCGCAGGATGACGCCCTTGGTGGAGGCGATCTGCTCCTCGCGGCGGCGTTGGAAGTACATGGTCCAAAGGGTGTGGCTGTGGACGGCGTAGCGCGGCTTGTTCCGCTGCTCCTCCATCAGGGACGAGCGGATGCGGGCGATCTCGGCCCGCCGCGCCGCCCCTTTGGGCACCGGTGGCATCGGGAGGCCGCCGGCGCTCAACCTCAACGTCCCCGGCACCCACATGTCCGGGGGCGCCGGGTACTCGGCCTCGTAGAGCAGGCGCGCCTTCGGCTCTTGGAGGTGGCGGCGGCCGAAGCCGTTCGCCGCCGCTCCATCGCCTGGGTACCTCTCGGCCATCTTTCTCGTTGGCAGGAAGAGCGGAGTGTTGCTATCTATGCCAGAGAGGGGGGGGGAAGTGATAGCTGTGGCATCCACCGGCGGGGAGGTCGCCTTTTATTGCCATCACGGGGCGGTGACAGGTTGCATGCCGGGCGACGCGTGGCTGGACACGTGTCGCAGCGCGTTCACTGCGCCGCCCATGAGGCGTCAATGGAGGCTGACCGGCGCGGCAGCCTTCACATTGATTCCTGCGAGAACCGAGGCGATGAGGGCGACGAAGCAGCGTCTGGCTGACTCGGCGGGCCCATCCGCTTTCGCGCCAAAACCGCTTGCCCGGCGCCACCGGGCGCCCTCCAGCGTGCCGGGTTCGCCCTGAGTCCGCCGGCGCCAATTTCGGCCCAAACCGGCGAAAAACGGGCTCCTGGGGGCGCGGCTGGGCCGATATTTGGGCGCCGGCGCCGAAAAATCGCCTGGGAGGGCCTGTTGGGGGCGCGGCTGGAGATGCTCTCAGTGCAAGGGTGGAGCAGACCCCATTGCGTCGCCGGCAGCAGCTGGGACGACAGTGCGATGGAGTTCAGTTCTGTTTTGACTTTGAAGAAAGTGTTGTACTTTTTGGTATGAGTTTTTTTAGTGGTATGAGAGGGCAATAGGCAAACTTTATGGCTAATGATTCCCATCGGCCGACCGGCCAAGCGAAGCGTAGATCGCAGTATTATCTCTTCCCTCCATAACAAGGTAAATGTTTGTAGCCGGCAGGCCGGCCGAAGTTTGGGCCGGTCCGTATGTGCCGTGGGATCTCTGTTTCGATCGTGCGTCCTTTGCATCACCCACATAACAGAAGAAACGGCCATATCCCCTAGGCGG